ATGGAAAGGAGTTCACAGTACAAACATTCTAATGCAGGTACAAAGCCTGATGACATCGTGCCAGCAGGAGGTAAAATGATATCTGTTCCTCATTATTATCTGGATGAAGATGTGGACAAGATAGTCGAAGCTATAATAGAGTAGGATACCTTATTTCTGCACTGATAGAAGTAAAATAGAAATAAATTGCATTTAGCGATAAACCTTGGACGACTAAGAGACCTACTACAACAAGAACGACTACAAAGAGACCTACAACACCAAGTATATTTTGGCAAAATGTTGTATTTTCTCAAAGCAGAGCTGATACGGCTTTTTCCTATATCAAAAGGAATAGTAGAATTGCTTAGTATCTTTCCTTATTGCAGAGCCAATTGACCTAAAATGTCTCATGGTTGGTGACTTGTACAGTTTTGGAGCGAAGGATGATGACAAATATATGGATGTAAGCTGTTGTCAAAAACTCCAAGTTTATCTCCTGCATTTTTCTTCAATCAATTTTTCAAGGAAGCCGATTTCATTGATGCTCTTGGGTACGACTTTTTCGACAGAAGCTCAAAGCAAATGGCCGGAGTATGGGCTTATGGTTACACAACATTCCCAAAATCGCCAGACCTTGGCAAAATCACTGCGAATCGTAGCGTTTTCCGGAGCGAATTATCCAAAATGCAGTACCAATATAGATCTGATCCTCTCTCAACGACGAAGTTAGAAGCTACTATCAGAGTGCCTTAACTTTTTGAAGCATGGTATTTTAGTGCAATCTCCACAATCAACAAGATGGCTGAGGACAGTCGGGTGAACTGCCTGGTCTTCTTCTCAGCAAGGTTGGCTTTTGCTATGGTGCTCATGTTTACCACATTGGGAAACCTGCCATTTTAGCAATGACTCGAAATCTTTGCCAAAACTCAACCCAGAAAACAAGCGAATAGAGCGAATTGTAGCTGTCGGATTTGCCGGTTAGTTTCTTTCGACATCAAAAGTCGCTTGCTCGAAAGTTGTTACTGTGCAAAACATATATCCTTACGAAAAGTTATAAAAAAGCCCAAAAAGTGAGTACCAGTCATAAATTTCCTTTTTATTATAGAAGCATTATTGTTCGCTTGAAGATGACACATAGATGGGACATACATATGCTGTGTATCAAAGCTTCAAAGCCTTTTTTTAAGTTGCAAAAAGCGCTAATGCTTGCTAGTCGCTTTAAAACAACGCAAGAAGAAAATTTGCGTCAAAGTGCAAACAAATTGCATAAGTCAATTTCATTAGGCATAGTATGATAGCAAATAAAGCACAATAATTTGCTCTTTAGTGTAAAATTTGAAACTCAACATAAAGATGATCACATGCTGTAACTGCTATTAGAACGGTCGTAAAATCATCTTTTAGCTTTTCTTAGCTCGTCAGAAGCCCTAGCTCAAATAAA